GAACAATGCACATATACATGTGTGCACGTCTTCTACAGCAGGGGAGGTTTTTTCCATTTTCTGTCAGCTTCGTTCACCTGCAGGCATCCTTGGAAAATTAGTCCTGCATCTGCTGCTCAGCAGACATAGCAGGGGGCCTCACCTCCCCGAACAAACAGCCCCCAGGAAAGCACAGCACAGCACAATGTTTTGCAGAATACAGCTTGTACCAGGGATCACATTGGGTGGCTGCTGCCAAGCAGATGCCATCCACACATCTTCTCCAAATCCCTCTTTCACAGGCGTACACTGGTCTTGAAAAAGACCTTAACACGTTTTATGTGCCAAGAAGGCACAGAGACTGCTGCAGATCATCTACAGAAAGCCAGGGAAGAAACAGCACTAGTTGTTTGGTTGTACTGCTTTGCGTTGTACTTCTTCCATGGCGAAAAAGAGAGGCATTAACCAGATGTAGACTGCACTTTGATCCAGAGTTGTTTGCAGCTAAAGGCCATCCCACACGCTGTTACTCACAAGTGACCTTGTAGATGAGAGCTGCAGAGGGCAGGCGGTGGAGATCGTAGTATCAAAGAATCGTAGAATGGGTTGAAAAGGACCTCAAAGATCATCTTGTTTCAGCCCCCCCAGGTACATGCAGAGTCGCCAGCCACTAGACTAGGCTGCCCAGAGCCACATCCCACCTTTGTGGCATTTTGAAGCTGCACTTTTGCAGTAATTTGAACATCCAGAAATTACATCCCGTGTGTCTCAGGCTGCCTGCTGCAGGAGGTGGCTGGTGCTGCATGCTGGGCCCTTCCTCCTTTGCTCGCTCATCCCCAGCCCTCAGCATGTCATGCAGTGTCAGACAGCTCAGCTCCAGTTCTGGTGAAGCCTTCTCACTTTGCTGGGTAAAGAACAGGCAGGGAGGCTGGGCCCAGAGAGTGGTGGTGAATGGAGTGACAGCCAGCTGGCGACTGGTCATGAGTGCTGGTCCAGGTGTTGGTATTACATTACTGGATAGGACAAGAGAGAATGCCTCAAGTTGCAGCAAGAGAAGTCCAGTTTGAGTATGTTGGAAATATCCAGGACGGTATCTCTGATAAAGCAAATTTTATTTGCAGTTGCAATGGTAGCCCTCCCTGCAAACAGGAGAGCACACAGAAAATAGCATTACATCTTTTGTGCCCTATTACTCGATGCTTATCTCTTTCTCCCCTGGTTCCTCGTTGGCTGAGTACTGCAGATGCACAATCTTACCGATGCTCAACTAAACATACCTGGCTAAACGTAAATCTTTGCTGGCTAAGCATAAACCTCTAATTATTTAATTAACTTATAGCACTTTGTCCACACTTGGTCATTGTTTCTGGACATCTGCTTGTCCTTCCTTGCATAGAGATAAGCTCGGAAGGAGGATAGAGGGGAATATCTTGATGCCTGCCTGTTGCCTCCCAATCTTCCCACAGAGTGAGGCAGCCCAGCCTTGTGTAGAGGCCCTGGCTTCTTTGATGTTTGTAAAATCTGTTTTTCTTTTGCTGGGAGTTTCTTATCGTAACAAAACAACCCTGCAATATGTTTTCTAATCCCTAGCACTATGCCCACATTGTTTGGAACATTTAAAAACTATTGCAGTTTTGCAAGAAAGAATTAATCACATAAATCAGCAGTTATGTTTCTAAAACAGGCTGCTAAGGTATACAGTATTCCTACTTTTTACATCAACTATTTCTAAGGATAAGTTACAGAATACAAATACATTATGTTCTAATTCTTCATATCAATTGTCCTTTTAAAGATCTAATGCAGAAACAACATTGCATTCCCATGAGTATTAGGAAAAACTTTTTCTCTGAAAGAGTGGTCAGGCATTGGGATGGGCTGGAGGAGAACATGGCAATGCCCAGATGGACACAGGCTGGCTGGAGTACTGCGTCCAGATCTGGAGCCCCCAGGACAAGCAAGACAGGGAGCTGTTGGAGAGGGTCCAGAGGAGCCACAGAGATGATCAGGGGCTGCAGCACCTCCACTACAAAGACAGGCTGAGGGAGCTGGGCTTGTTCAGCCTGGAGCAAAGAAGGCTGTGGGGTGACCTCATTGCAGCCTGCAGTACCTAAAGGGAGCCTACAGACAGGAGGGGAGTCAACTCCTGAAAAGGGTGGATAACAGCAGGACAAGGGGAAATGGTTTGAAGTTGAGGGAGGGCAGATTGAGGTTGGATGTCAGGGGAAGTTCTTTGCTATGAGAGTGGTGAGGTGCTGGAATAGCTGCCCAGAGAGGCTGTGATGCCCCGTCCATCCGTGGAGGTGTTCAAGGCCAGGTTGGATGGGGCCCTGGGCAGCCTGGGCTGGTGTGAAATGGGGAGGTTGGTGGCCTTGCGTGTGGTAGGGGGCTGGAGCTTCATGATCCTTGAGGTCCCTTCCAACCCCGGCCATTCTGTGATTCTGTAACACGGAGCACCCACACGATGCCTTTAAGACGCCCGAGCTGCTGCCCCCTCCTCCATCCCTCCCTCCCCGTGACGTCATCACTGCTCGCCACGCGGAGGCTCTTCCCGCCCGCGCTGCGCTAATCGTGTGCGACGGGGTCGGAGCGGTGGTTGCGGAGGGCGCCGAGGATGTGAGTGGGGTGGGAGCTGATTGTCTGCGCGGGCATCGGCCGCCATCCGGCCGGCCGCCACTCGGTGCGGCCTCGCCGCCGCTCGGGATTGCTCAGGGGAGCCGGCGGGAGCCGATGGAGTGGTTATGGAGGGAGATGAGAGACAGGGATGGCGCCGCGGCCTACCGCGGCCGGGGGCGGGGAGGAAGGCGGGAGGCCGGGCCGGGGCGGAGCCGGGCCTGAGGCCTGCAGCGGAGCTGGGGCCGGGGGTCCCGCCGCCCAGCAGCGGGCGGGCAAAGCGTCAGGAGCGCCCCGCGGGTCTCGCTCCGCCCGGCGCCGTACTGCAGCCTGTGAGCGGCTGAGGCCCGGCCCTGCGCTGCCCTTATAGCCGGGCGGCGGCGTTGAGAGAAGCTGCCGATTCGGGTCAGTCTTAATTCATGCGAGGAAAACTTTCCTATGCTTGACAAACAAGGACCCATAAGCAAGTTGCCGTTCCAGGACGCGCCTGCCGGGCAAGAAGGCCTAGGGAGAGCCGAGGTCGTTGCCTTGGCTGCAGCTGTCTATGAGCATAGGTCTCCTCAGAGCTCACTGTGTGCAGGGAGCAGCTGGCCTGTTAGAGTGCTCTGAGGCCGGCTGTGCTGGGCTGGGTGCTGCACGAATGCTGAGATGTTGGGGGGGTATCGGAGTTTGTTTCCATTTTAGGAAGGGAGGTGTTGCTTAGGAATGCCTTGTGTTGTTAATGCGCTCATGCTGCAGTGTTATTCTTTATGGAGGTGTGTTCCAGTGAACGCCTGAGCATGTGCACGTGAAAGTGCCCAGGGGCTGCGTCTCCCACGCCGAGGTTTCCAAGTGAAACTTTCTTGGGAACGGTATATTTTAATTGGGTGAAAGAAGAACACTGGTTAGCCTAAGGGCTGCCTGAAAGCTGCCTTTGACAGAAGTTTGCTGGATGTGTCAGCCTCATTTGGCTGTTGTGTCTGGTAAGTGCTAGCCCTGTGGGTGCACGGAAGAGTGGTGCTGCTGGCAGCTGTTTACATGCAGTGCTTCCCAGCGCTCCGGTAGCAGGCAGGGTAATGGCAAAGCACTTGTTGGTCTTCTGAGCTTTCATTTCCCATCTTGCAGCAAGGTGCAGCTGGAGCTGGCTGCCATTGGGAAATGGGTTTTGAGCTTGTGGTGTCCTGGCTGCAGTGGTGTGAGAGTGTTTGGTGTGTAGGGAGAAATAAGACAAGCCTGAGTGGTGTGCTCAGGAGAAGAGGGCCAGGAAATGAAAATGTCATCTTTGGAGTAGGCCAGCTGCTTTGACACAGGGCCCTTTTCTAAGCTGTGGGTCTGTCATCTTTCTTACTAGAGTCAATAGCTGCTTAGGGAAAAACTGTAAAGCTGAAAATCAGGAATGTAGCGATCTCTTCCCAAAGCTGAGTGTCACTGCAGTGTAGAGGATCAAGGTGGTGATGGTCAGAACCAGAAACCAGAAGCAGCAGGACCTTGTTAGCTAATTTTGCCTTCGATGCAGCTGTTGGTGCACCAGGAACATGCAACGTGATTACTGTGTGATGCCTCTGCTGATGACGCTGGCAGTTCACAGAGATGCTCGTCCCCATTCTGTATGAACTGGAGGGAGAATGGCTGTTTCTGAGTGTGGAAAGCAATAGGACAACGGGGGGTGGTTTTAAACTGAGGCGGGGAGGTTTAGGTTGGATATTAGGAAGTTTTTCACCAGAGGGTGGTGAGGCACTGGCACAGGTTGCCCAAGGAGGCTGTGGATGCCCCATCCCTGCAGGCATTCAAGGCCAGGCTGGATGTGGCTCTGGGCAGCCTGGGCTGCTGGTTGGCGACCTGCGCACAGCAGGGGTTGGGACTGGATGAGCATTGTGGGCCTTTGCAACCTAGGCCCTGCTACGATTCTTTGTTTCCCAAGTGTTTCCTGTGTGGGTAGATACTATGTTTCACAGCAAAGCATATCTGCCAAATTCTTTTCAAGGTTATTAAATATATGTGGAGGCAGCTTTGTGATCCAGATAGAATCAGCGAAATGCAGCAGCACGTTTAGATGTCACAGAGTATGTGATAGATGCACCCTCGTGTAGAAAATGCTTGAAATTGAGCTCTCAGAGTTGAGGTTCTACATGTGAGCAGTCAATTCCTATGTGTGCAGCACACTGCCATACGTATTCATTCTTTTCCAAGAACTCCTGAATGTGTGCTCAAGTCCCCCTGGGCACCTGCAGTTGCATTGTGGCTGGTTATATGCCCACTTAGTTTATCCCCGTTTTTTCCACCGCCAGCCTCATCACAGAGACTTTTGGTTGAGCTGTAGCTGTTTTTCCCCAGTTTGGCCGAATTCCATTGCTTCTTAGGCCACAATGAGCAACTTCCAACACAACGTGTGTGAAAATCCAAGGAAAACATCCTTGCACATGGTGAGATGCAGAGATCAGTAGTCTGCCATGACTGCAGTGCTGCTTGTGAAATGGAATTAAGAGAAAACAAGGCTGATCACACACCAAGCAAAGCAGAAATGGAAGGTTTTAGGACTAGTGCTCACTGCTTCCTTCTGCTAAACTAATATATTGCTCCTCAGACTAACGTACTGATCTCTGTTGCTAAACAAACCAGCCTGTATCACCACTCAGCAGCCATCTCTTCCTGCCTAGCATGTGTTCTGTGGCACAGAGGGACTTTGGAGGAAAGCAGAGCTTGCTCCTCAGGAGATGAGGATGTTGGCAATAGGCAGGAGCTGCACGTGTGTCTTGTGTAGGGGATGGATGTCCTCTGTGCGCCTTCCAGGGGGGTGTATAGGATCCTTTGTACTTCTGTGACTACCAGAATTTGTAGCTTTGAACCCGCATACGAGTCCTTATGCTGTGATGAAGGTGTGAGCTGGCCCAGGCTGTAACGGCCAAGCAGCACTGGGCCTGGCTGCAGTGCCTGCAGGCCTCACCTGTCCTCTGGTATGCTGCCACTGCTGCACAGCAGGTCTGCTGTTCTGTGTCTGTTCATTTCTTGTTTCTGAGCGCTCTCACCGTGTCTCTTGGCTGGTCTCTGGAGTGTACTGCTCTCAATCAGGGGGCACTTCTCAGAATTGAGGAGTTGGAACTGAGATTTGACAGAAGTGAGGCCCATTTGGAGCTGCTTTGGACGCCTCTGCAAGGGAAATGGAGTTAATGGGAATGAAAAATGATGGGAATGAAAAAGAAGAGTTTGCTAGGACTCAAAGAAAATAATAAAAAATCCAGCACTAGGTTTACTTTCCAAATTTTCAAGGCCTAATGGAAGTGGGGGTGTCGTAGGGTCCTGGGGCTTTCCCAGCAAGGGAGAGGAGTTGGAGGTGCATCTCTTTGGTGAACTTGCATATGACAGTTTCTGTATGCTAAAGCTGTTGTCCTCAAAGCTGCTGCTCTGCAACGTGAAACGTTTTCCTTTCTTCTAAAAAGCCCCAACTTACCTGATGCTTTAACTCTGCTCTCACGGTAATCTTGGTCACGTTTGAAGTTCTGTGTTCTGTGTTGCTGTTCTGTGCCTCGTTTGAGTGTGGTTTTCTGTTCTTGTGTGTTTTCCATATTAAACAACCCCTTCTGCCGTGTGTTCTTGAAGGGCTCCCTCACCAACCAAACGCAAGGATAGGTCTGAAGAGAAATCAAAGGACCGATCCAAGGACAAAGCAGCCACTAAGGAATCTGGTGAAAAGGATCGCGGTCGGGACAAGACGCGCAAAAGGCGCAGTGCTTCCAGTGGGAGTAGCAGCACCAGGTAGCTACCATTCCAGGCAGTAACAAATACCTGTTTTCAGAGCCACCTGTGGTTGGCTGAATTCCATGGCTTGGACTTACACAAGCTTGGAATTGCGTTGGTCACGGTGAAGCGATGGAAGGGGTTTTGGATCGATGAGGTGTGATTGGATCAGTGAACTATGGAGAGTCGCTCTTCATTGCTTTAACTTGCAGTTGCTTTCTGTCTCATTATCAGGAGATCTTCAGCCGTTCTTTCTCTGGGCATTCCATTCAGTTTTTCTTTCCCTCGCAGGTCCCGCTCCAGCTCCACTTCCAGCTCAGGATCCAGTTCCAGCACTGGTTCCAGCAGTGGCTCCAGCTCCTCTTCGGCCTCAAGCCGCTCTGGGAGCTCCAGCACCTCACGCAGCTCCAGTTCCAGCAGCTCCTCTGGATCCCCCAGCCCGTCCCGACGGAGGCATGACAACAGGAGGCGGTCCCGCTCCAAGTGAGTGCTCCGTGTCTTTCAGGAGTTCTAGAGAGCAGATCGACTTCCTTGTGCAGTTCAAGGTGGTGATCAAACGGGTTTTTGCCGAGGACTTTTTACTTTCTCTGTGACTCAGAGATGTGAATTTTGTTAGAATAGGCAGGTTCCTTTGGATGGCTGTTGAATCATACACGTGCCTTGTGGAGGTGAACGAGGAAAGAGTTTCTTTTCTAAGGGTGATTGGTACATGCTGTATTTTGTGGAGGCAGTTTGAGTCGGTGTTCACCCACCGCAATGGGAAAATGGGGGCGCAAATGACAGTAAAGGTGTTCACGTATTTCCTGTAAGTTGTAGTCAAGCCTGCCAGAAAAGTTGGGACTGAAAATGGTGGATAGGTGTGTGTGTGTGTGTGTGTGCGCTGTACGTGTAAAAATGATAGGAGTGGGGGGACCAATGAAAGAGTTTTTCTGTAAGGGTGGCAGTACAACTTGTAATGCCCACATGTTGGGTTTGTTTTTTTTCTTTGGATAATTCTGTAAATAATTATTTAGATTGTGGAAGGCTAAAATCAATTATAATCCAGTTTGCTTTGTGTATCCTGCAATTTATGGACAGTAAGATTTGGAAGAGGCATAAATACAGATATTCTGCATGCTTGGATTTGGGGTTTTCTTTTTGGTGCTTTTTACAATGTGGCTTGTACTTTTAAAAGCCTGCAAGCAAACTGTAAAACAATTATTTAAATAATTCAGATGTGATGTTTCTTGTCTTCTGTGGTGAACAGAAGACACGCAGGTCACTAGATCCATTATTTGGCTGTGCTGTGCTTTGGTGCTCCTGGCCTTGTTTTGCCTCTTTAATTGTTGTCATGTGATGATTTTTGTTCCTGCACCTCCAGAGTTCTTTAATGCTAGCAATGATTTTGAGTAAATCCTTGGTAAATCAAATTTAGTAAACCTAGCTAACCTTTAATGTATTTAAAATAAATTAAAAAAAAGCCCCTTTAATTCCAGAAGACTGTAAAGCAAAAGCAGACAAGACAAATACAAATCTTCCTACCCTTCTGAGCGGAGCACAGCCACCACCCTAGCAATTCCTAACTTGTAATATCTTAAAAGAAAAGCTACCTTGACAAGAAAAATGGTACTTCTCTTAAAATCACGTGCTAGAAATTGGCTTCTAGTTCTTGTCTTCTCGTTTTCCCTGGAAGCTGTAAATGTTTTCTTGTCAAAATCAGATCCAAGCCACCCAAGAGAGATGAAAAGGAGCGGAAGCGGCGCAGCCCATCGCCCAGACCTACAAAAGTGCACGTTGGGAGGCTCACTAGAAATGTCACCAAGGTAATGGCGTGCTCTCCTCTAATGCCAAGCAGGTGCTTCTCTTGTGGGTTGTGTGCTGATGGCTTTTTTAAAGCCTTCAGTGTTTCTTTTGTCTGTGGACTGCTGCCAGAACAGTGCTGTTGGAAATTCCTGCTTTGTGTCCAAATGGATGAGTGAGGAATGCTTCAGTAGAGCTTCCCCAAGTCAAATTCAGTGCAGCCTTATGAGATTCAGCAGTGTTAAAAGCTCTGTGTGCTTTGTTGGTACCCCAGAGCTTGTACTTCACCTTCCTAGGAAGAAAGCTGTGTAAGTCAGTACAATAGTAGAAATCACGTGGGAGGCATTAAAGTCACCTGGGGCTTCACTAAAGGAGCTCCAGGGGAGCTGGATTGGCTGGAGCTGTCTTTGCTGGAACGTAGTTTAGAGGTGTGCAGAGGTACAGGTTTAGGGTGCAGAAAAGATGCTATTTTAAAAAAGATATGAAGGCTTGTACCTGAGGACTTCCTATCTGAGGACACAACTTCGCTTTCTAAAACCCCAGGAAGGTTTTCTCACTAGTGCAGCTTCTGTAGCCTGTGATGATGTTCAGCCAGGAATTCTGATAAGGTCTGGAATGATCTGAAGTGAAACAGACGGAGACATCAGTAGAGGCTGTGGTAACCCCAGTGTGATTTCCACACCTGATTAGTGGAATGTATCTCCTGCAGGTGGCATTGATTTAAAGGTGGTTTGGTGCTGTGTGCTCTGTAGTGGCCAGAGCTGCTTGGTGAGAGAGCTGCACATCCTTAAGTTCTGCTCCTTCTTGGCAGGATCACATCATGGAAATTTTTTCCACTTATGGAAAGATTAAAATGATTGACATGCCAGTTGACAGGCTAAATCCACACCTCTCTAAAGGCTACGCTTACGTGGAGTTTGAGAACCCAGATGATGCTGAGAAAGCCCTGAAACACATGGATGGAGGTGGGTGTCAAGTGCTGCAAGGAGGCTGGGTGCTTTGAAAGCAATCTTTGGAGCGAGTGGATTTGATGTGAAAATGAGATGGAGATGATGGGGTACCTTCTGGGGAGCTGATCTGATATGCTGTCATTCTGTTTTCAGTGCAGATGCCTTTGGCTTTTGTGTGGTGTCAGGGCAGATTGGAAAAAAACCAAAACTATTAAAGTGATGCTTTTTTTCCAAACTGAAAATCATTTAAATTTCTGTGAAAATCCTTCCTGATCAATGTCTGATGGGGAACTTGGTTAAGAAGTCTGGTGTGCGTGTGATTTGGTCAGCAGAACTTCAGAGTGCGTGGTGGAAATAGCAGCACAGGGTTGTGTTGCTTGCGACAGAGCTGTGAATCACCGTCACTTGGTCTGTTGGTGCTGGAAAACGCTCACTTTGTGTTTGTGACTTTCTGAGCAGGGCAGATCGATGGGCAGGAGATCACTGCCACGGCCGTGCTGGCGCCACGACCCAGGCCGCCTCCTCGGCGCTTCAGCCCACCCAGGAGGATGCTGCCACCACCACCGATGTGGCGTAGGTCACCCCCTCGGATGAGGAGAAGGTGAGAGCTGAGCCTTATATAATGTCTTATTTCCTTCTCACTGTAACAAGAATTTATCGCCGAGTCCCAGCATGAGGACGACTTCATCTCATTGGACCTGAGCTTCCCCTCCAGTGATGGTTCAAAAAACCAAAACAAAGCACAAAAGAACAAACAAACCACCTTCTGGGCATCAGTTGAACTCAGATTGTACTTCTTGAAAGGTTGAGGGAACTGGACTTGTTTAACTTGGAGAAAAGAAGGCTCCAGGGAGACCTTCCAGTACTTGAAGGGAGCGTATAAACAGGAGGGGAAGGGCAACAAGGGTGGATAGAGATAGGACAAGGGGTTTTAAACTGAGACAGGGGAGGTTGAGGTTGGATATGAGGAGGAAATTTTTCAGCCAGAGGGTGGTGAGGCACTGGAACAGGCTGCCCAAGGAGGCTGTGGATGCCCCAGCCCTGCAGGCATTCAAGGCCAGGCTGGATGTGGCTCTGGGCAGCCTGGGCTGCTGGTTGGCGACCTGCACACAGCAGGGGTTGGAACTGGATGAGCACTGCGGTTCTTTGCAACCCAAGGCATTCTGTGACTCTGTGATAATTAATTGCTTAATGCCAGAGTTGACCCTGATCTATTTCCTGAATGAAGTCCATCAGAAATGTTTAGATCCCAGCCTGTTCCCTTCTGTGTAGTGCTTTGAGGTGAAGTGGGGACAGACTTGTGGCTGGCTGGTAGGATGCTTTTGGCAGCCTGGTCTGGTTGCCTTTTTCAGAAGCCCTTATCTCCTTTCTGTCAGTGGGAAAATGAGAGTAAAGCAGTCCTCCTGCATCAGGTGTGCGTGACCCCAAGGAGGGACCTGATGCATCTGTTGTGTGACTCGGGGCTGCCGGAATCCTCAGGCTCCAAAAAACTTAACATTGATGTTCTCAGCATGTGGGTGAGCTCCACTATCCTGGAAACCTGCTGAAACTCTTGTCCTTACTAATGCAGTTCCTAATTTGAACCAGCTGATTGCTTCTCCATGAAGTGCTTTTTACTGCACTAAATGCTAGGTTGGATGATCTGTTTGCTTCCCTCATCTTCTATTGTGCTGTCTGGCTCCGTTAATATTCCGTGCCCGGCACCTTGGTGTCATACTGATGGCTGTACAGACAAGTGTAGCACTGCAGATTCTGAAGCTCAGCTATTTCTTTAGAGTTGGACTTCCTGTGAGAAGTGTGTCTGTGGTACTGTGTGACCTGTGTAAATACTGAATATTTCAGGAGCTAGAATTTCAGAGGAGCCTTTCAGATGAAGGAGAATCTGATGTAGAAAGAACCTGTTTGTGGTGTGTGAGGTAGAAGATGAGATCCTTGTCTGTTATTTGGATGTGAAGCAGTCTTTCAAATTCTGAAGCAGAGGGATGGCAAAGTAGCTAGGAAATTCCTCCTAGAATATTCCTGTTCGGATTGCACTTCTGCTTTCTGGAGTTGTTGGATCTCTTTCAGAGTGATCTTTGAGATTTTTCTGGAGGATACAGAAGGAAGCAATTTGCAAACACTGCAGACGTTGCTGGAAGCTGCTGTGCCTCCTAACGGAGCTCTTCTCCGTCCCTTCCTGCAGGTCCCGCTCTCCGAGGCGCAGATCTCCTGTCCGCCGGCGCTCGCGGTCGAGGTCTCCCGGACGAAGGCGCCATCGCAGCCGCTCCAGCTCCAACTCTTCACGATAAAGCAAAAAGAATGGACAGCTTTTTATTTTTTAACTTAAATTCCATGAAAATAAATATTGTACCTTTTTTTATAATGGGTCTAGGTGAGGAAGGGAGAGAGGGGGGAGAGAGGATCCTGGCAGTGAGGGTAATCCAAGAGGAGGCAGCAGCAGTTCCTGGCCATTAGTCAGCCTCTGCTGTGGGGCTCCTGGTTTCCTGGCATTTAATTGACATTATTGAAAAATGGCTGTGATGATTTTTTTTTTTTTTTAAATTTTTTTTTTAATGCTATAAAACCAACATCTGTCCTGGATCGATGTTATGGCTTTCTCCAGTTAGCAGACTGCTGCTTAATGATTTCTAAGTGCTTAGCATGCTGTACAGATGAGCATGTAAATCTTGAGCTATTTTGGAAATGCTGCATAATAGGGCAGGGAGGCAGTGAACCCAATTGCTGGGATTGTCAGAGCGGCTGGAGTCCGGATTACAAAATCTGTCTGAGACTTAATGAGCTGTTTGCTTTATTCCCATTCCCAAACTATGATTAGTTTCTGCATATTGACCTTCTGTAATGCATATACCACTTGAACGCTGCAGAGACAGCAGCCCGGCCTGCTGAATACTGTGCTTTAGAAAAGAAGCTGGAAATGTTAATAACGGGTTTGTAGCTGCTGCCCTGGTTGATTCCTTCCACCTTTTCTTAAAGATTTTGGTAAGTTTCCTATTCAGTTCCTTAAGGAAATGATGCAAGTGCTTCTGCTTTTACAAATCTCCAGTTAGCAACCAATCGTCAACCCCTGCAAGGAAACTGCGAGGCAGAGCGAGGCTGGGGGCTGTGCTGCTGCCTGGGGAAAGGCAAAGAACCACCTGTTGTACAGTCAATACTATAAAGTTTTGTTGTTTTTTTTCATTATTTTTGTGTCGTTTTGTATCACTTTGTAGCCTTTGGGGCCACGTTGTGTTTGTACTTGTATAGGACGAGCGACTGATAATAAAGCAGTAGAGGTGAGAACTGCCCGTCTCGCTCGTTTCCGCCCGCGCTCGCAGAGACAGAGGGGCTCCTGCGCCTTTAAGAACAGCGTGGGCGGGGCTTTCTTCCGGCACTACCATTGGTCGCCACATGGCGGCCGGAAGTGGGCACGGCCTCCACCATGGCGGCCGGAAGCGGTACGATCTCCATCATGGCGGCGGCCTTGGAGAGCGCCCTGCAGGCGGCCGGGCCCGGGCTCCGTCCTGAGGCAGAGGCGGTGGACGCCGTGCGGGCGGCCCTGGCTGCGGCGGGGGATCCAGCGGCACTCGGCGAGCGAGAGCGGGCGCGCCTCGGCGCCTTCTTGCGCAACCTGGCGGCGGGGCCGGAGGAGCCGGCCGGTCCGTGGCGGAGCCTTTTCCTGGAGGGCCCGCCCGATCTCGCCTTCAGCGCGCTGACCGACAGCCTGGCGGCCCCGCGGTCAGTGCCGCGCCTCGGGGATCGGGCAGGGGAGTGGGGGTTGAGTGGGGCTTCCCGTGGGGTCACGGAGCGGCCGTGCTGCTCGGCTCGGCGGCTCGGGGTCGCCTTTAGGGGATGGCAGAACCCAGGAGCGGTTGAGCTGGGAGGAACCTCGCAGCCCCACCCCTGTCCCGGGCTGCCTGCAGCCCACCCACGGCCGGGGTCGGGGCGCCTCGGGGCGGCGGTGCCCGCAGCGGGGTTGCGGCGGTAGCAGCACGGCAGCCTCGCGCGCAGCTCCTTGCGGCGGGGCGGGGCGGGCACTCAGCGCAGCTCTCCTCCTTCAGCTCCGACTGGCGGCTGGCGGCGGTGCCCGAGGTGTTGGAGCGGTTCCTGCGGCAGGGCCGCCTGTCCGCGCTCATCTGGGAGCAGTGCCAGCAGCATTCCCGACCCGGCTCGGCCGAACGGCAGGACGCGCTGCTGGGCAGGATCGTGTGTCTGCCCGACCTCGTCGGCAACAGCCTCCTGGGCCGGAGCCCCGCCGTGTTCTTCCCGCAGCATTACTTCCCTCTGCTGGGCGGCGCGGTTCTCCAGGTGCTGCACAACGTCTCCGCTTCGCTCAGAGGTGAGAATGCAGAACTGGTGCGTATAGGCGGCTCCTCTGGAGTGTTTTGTGCGTGGAGCCCTCGACTGGTGCTCGAGGTGTAAATAATGGGTGTTGTGGAGCCTTAAGTTCATCTTCTATTGTGAAGTACGTTGTGCTTTAAGAGGATAAGATACCAGGATTGAGACTGAGGCTGTTAAAAGTCCTGCTAAAAGCTGCAGCCCTGTGAACTATTAAATATCCTCATCCCTTGCCAGCTGTGAGCTAAATGAAGTATGTGGAAGACCAGTGCAGAACCAACCGCTAATGCACTCACCGTTGTGCTGAAGCAGCACTGAGCTATTCAGTGCTCTCACTCCACCTCTGCGTGGATAATGTTGGGTTGGTTTGTACCTGAAGGCAGATGGGGAGGGGGGGGGGTGGCTGAAGTCATGCCTCAAAAGAAAACTCATCTGCATTTTCAGACTTGTGGCCTGTAGGTATGTGTGTACCAGCTTTGTGTGATGCTGGTGATGATCTTGTTAAGCTTCTGTCTGTTTCATTCCAGGTGGCCTGGATTGCTCAGTCTCTTTCGTTTCACATATTCTGGGAAAGGTCTGTGTTCATGGGAGACAAAGTGAGTGTTCTACCTGACCTGGTAGCTTTGAGGTTTTATTTGTGGATCAGCACAGGCTGCTCTCTGCTTTCTGAGGCCGCTCAGCTACAGACCTGATAGATGGCGATGCTCTTCTATCATCTCATGCAAGTGTGATGTGCTCATACCTCGAAAATATGCGAGCTTTCTGCCCTTCCCCTCATCTTGCCATTTGGGGCATAACTATTAAGTGCTCTTCTAGTGCATCTAATCCAGTAACCTGAAAGTGTGTTGTAAATACCAGCAAAAATCACTCCCCATATGTAATAATCATCTCCTATGAGTAGCCTTCAGTCTCGCTTAGCTTAGGAGTTTAAAGTCACAGTAGTTGCTGACAGGGCTTCAGGGACAAGAAGGAGAGATTGCACATCTATTTACTGCAGTGAGGAATGCTTGCAAGTTTCTTAGGCTGCACGGTGTTCCCACCACAGAAAGAAAATAGAATTGCAGACTGTTCTGTTTCTCCGTCCATGAAGATCTTTATGCTTGCAGCTGACCTCAAGAAGCGTTGCAGTCCTTCTTCCCAGCTGATGTGTTTCTTTCTTTTCTCTTCTCCTTCAGAGGAAATTCTGAGTGTTTTGATGCCCCACCTCATGGATCTCACCAAGTCTGACTGCATCTGGCAAAGAATTTGCTGGCGGTTGGTTGAGTGTGTGCCAGACCGCTGGATGGAGGCAGTGGTCCTTGGTTTTGTTCAGAGAGCGCCGGGGTAAGAACTCTGTTTTCCAGCTTTTGCTCTGCTTCAGGGAGGAACTTTGCCACAGACACTTAGGACGGATGCTGGCACACACACACGTGAGCAGTCTGTTTCTTACAGTGCCATTTCCTGAGGGACCAAGGGACAAAATTGCTGGTTGTTCCCCCTCAGCTAGAACCTGTACTGCTCCCTACAGGCCTGAGCCATGGCATGCAGTGAAAAAAAACATTATTTGCAACCATTGAGTGACTTGTAACACTTAAAGGTGTTCACTTCAGTGCAAATAGCTGCTCAAAGAATCTCATGCAATGAGAGGCAGTGTGACAATCCCTCCATAGATCCCTAATGTTTTGCTGTTGTTTTGCTAGGGCAGATGTCTTGTCTAGATTGCTGGGGAATCTGGTTGTGAAAAATAAGAAAGCTCAGTTTGTCGTGACACAGAAGATGCTGCTGTTGCAGTATGGCTGCACGGTAAGGGCTCTGAGCTGAACAGCAGTGAAGCAATGCCTGTCTTTGCCATAGTGCCAATTTGTTGTTGTTGGGTTTGGTTTGATTTAGCTGAGCTCCAGGTCTAGACTGTGTCTGTTCTGTATTTGTCTGGTCTTGCTGGTACAAGTGCTGCATTCCTGTCCTGATTTGCCATATATTTCATCAGCAATTGCTTGTATTGCTTTTTTGTTCTTATTTTTTCCTTTTTTAATTAGTTTTTCTGTTTGAATGCTGTCAACCAGTCCTTCACATTGAAGTTTAACACACGTTCAGCATTGCTGGATGCTGACTTTATGCCCAGTTAAAGCAAGACCTGTGGTTTTCATTACAGACTGCAGTGCTGCAGAATCTTCTTGGCTATCTGTCCCTGGAGAGCCTTCGTCGTGCCTTACTGATCAAGGTAAGGTTAAGGCATGGCCTTGGTGAGGTGTCTGATCGGAAGGAATTCTACACTATGAATGTGTGTCCGTGTGGGGTGGGGTGTTGGAACTTCCCTAAGTCACTCTTGCTGCTGCTCGTGGCAGCAATGGCAGCCCTGGGATGCTGACTGGTGCAAAACCAACATGTTGTGCAAAACAAAAGACGTTCTGCACTGCTGATGCTTTTCATATTCACTTGGCAAATTGTCCTCCAGGTAGCAAAACTGCAAAGGTCTGGATTGTTACAGGTGCCCTTTGTCCTCCTCAGCTTCTCTCAGCTGACCTGGGTGACAGAAAGTGCTGGAGTTGGTTATGAGCCGTCTGTGTGCTGAATGCTTGATGCTTCAGAATCTCTTTTTCTCCCTTAACCTCAGTGTGGATACAGATCCTTTCTCTCTCCAATTTAGCAGTGTACCACCAGAACTTCCAGGAAGTTTGTATTTCTGGAAATCACCCCTGTTTTGGTATCATTTTGATGTGTTGGGGTTTTTTTGTTTGTTTGTTTTTTGCAGTGGTTACAAGCTCTAAAATCTAAGACCACTGGCAGCTGCTCTTTGAACATTGGACTGGAAACATTGTGTGATAGCAGATAATGTGCAGAACAATGTATTATTGTCAGAAAGCAGTATGATACTGTGTTTAAGAAAAATAAATGTGTTTATCATTTGAAAATCTTATATTTAACAAGATATTAAAGGAAGATGGTCTGGACTTCTCAGCTGGCCAAGCGCGAGACCGTTTTGGTCTCTGAAATACAAAGTTAGCACCATGGGTAGGGAGGCTGACTGCACTGAGAGGCATTAAGACCTGTGGGCCATCCTGAGGTGTCATGTGCTGTGTGACTGACACGTGGAAAAGATCTGTTCCAAGATAGTTTGGATGAACAAAGTTGTTTATACTCTGATTCAGGTGCTGCAAGAGCTGTTGGAGACCTGGGGCAGCAGCAGTGCAGTGAAACACTCTCCAGTGGAGCAGCAGCAGTATATTAGTAAGGCCATTCTTATCTGCCTTTCTCACCTGAAGGAACCCGAAATAGAGAGCTGCAGGCAAGGTGAGGTGGCAGAAGTGAGGCATGGATGTGTTTAACAGAAAGTCTGACCGGGAAGAGAGAATGATTTGTTTCGATGTGTAGGGGAACAAAACTGTCCTGTCTTCATCCTGTCAGGCCGGGTGTCCTGCTGGAATCCTTTTCCTTTAGCAGTGATACAAAGTGATTCCAAGCACGGAGCTTTAAAGTGTGAAGTTGGAGATCGGTATCTTTGAACTGAAGTTCTTAGCTGAATAGTGGCCCTAGGAACCCTTAAGTTTTGTCTCAGGAAAACTTGGATTGGTTCTGGAACTGGGTGGAGGAATCACATGCTTAAATTGTCTTGGTGCTGGAGCGTGAGTAACACTTCAGAAGAGATGGGAGGGAAGAGCACCACGAATCAGAAGCAGTTTGGCTAGGCTCTGTCCGTGTGCATTCCTGTGTTCTTCTGCTCCCTCAGTGTGCTCACTTGTTAGGTGAGTAGTGATAGTGTGTTACAGGCAAGGACTGTTTTGTAATTAGATAACATGTAGCAGAGTGGGGTTCTGGTCTGAAAATAAAACTTTCATTGCAAAAAAAAGTAATATCTGTCCAATTTTTAGAGTTGCTTCTTGTCTGGCTTTGTTTTTCACTTGTTGGAAGGTTGACTTGGACAACCTGTTCTGCCATTTCAGGCTGGAGTTCATTGTGCTTCACAAGACCTGCTACTGCCTCAAGTTTTACTGTGCTCAAGTTTTATAACCTGTTTTCTCTCTGGCAGCTGCTGAACACATAAGCTTTTCTGAGCTGACAATAGGTCTGCCAGATAAGGATGGCAGTCACAGTTCTCTCTGGGCTGAGAAATGCTGATGTTAGTTACCTGTGTCAGCTTGCCTAGGTGATGAGGGAATCTCCTCCCTCTGATTACTGCACTGGCCAGAATTTGCCATTTCCTCATGATGTGGATTTCACTTACCCAGTTTCAAAGCTCTAAACATGAGCTAAGGATTGAAATCCTTTCTGTTTTTTTATACCAGTGAAAAACTAAATATTCCAGATTCATAATATGTTTGTGATGTGTGCTTGTGTGCCCACAACAAAGCATGGCTTCAGTATGTTGGTGTTGAAAGGCAGTACTGCCATTGCAGGCAGAAGTCGTGGTTGCTTAGGCCCTTCTTGCCTTTCTGCCCTTCGCTGGATGACCTCTGAAGGCACACATTTGGCTCTGGCATTGTTTGCGTGCTGTCTGTGTTCTGCAGAACTTCTCACGAGCATGATGGAGGGCGTGAAGTGCCACCTGGACAGCAGCCTGCCTCAGATACGGCGCCTGGGGATGATAGTGGCCGAGAGCATCAGTTCAAAGATTAACACGGATGGGCCCGTCCTGCAGTTTCAGGTAAAGGTTATAGTGAAATTTCTCTCTGGTACGTGGGGCACAGAGGGAGTACAAGTTTAAAAGCAGGTGAGCCAGAGCGTTATCACAGAGTCATAGAATGGCCTGGGTTGCAAAGGCCCACAGTGCTCATCCAGTTCCAGCCCCTGCTGTGTGCAGGTCGCCAACCAGCAGCCCAGGCTGCCCAGAGCCACATCCAGCCTGGCCTTGAATGCCTGCAGGGCTGGGGCATCCACAGCCTCCTTGGGCAACCTGTGCCAGTGCCTCACCACCCTCTGGCTGAAAAACTTCCTCCTAAGATCCAACCTTCTAACACTTCTTATCTGGAAGTGAGGAGAGTCAGCGATGTTTTCCAAAAGAGAAGTTGCCCGATTACAAAAAGGAATTGCATAAAAACCAGGCGGATGGGTGAGGGTGGCCCCAGGGGCGTAATCTGATGGTTAAGCTTATGGTAAATTGTTAATAAGTAGTGGACCACTGGAAGATTGTCACATTGTGTGAGGAAACCCCAGTCTGACCTGTGGGAGCTGGGAGCGGTGAGTGTGTGTTCCCTGACATGCTGGGAACGCCTGCCCTGAGATTTTCAAGATTGACATGGGGATCTTTGTCATGTTATTGCCAGTATAATGTATAAGAATTATGTGATAAAATCCCATTTGTTCCATAAAAACCTGATTCATTCTCCTTGTTGCATTGCCACTTATGAAACGTTTTGAAGATTATAAATAACACTGAGACAAGGTCTGACCAAGCACTACCATGAAATACAGGGGGGAAGATTACGCATGGCACTGATCTCTGTGCAGCTTTAATGTTACTGCTGGTAGTGACTGAAACAAAAGGGATGGCTGTGTGTTCAGCTGAGGATGATTCAGTCCCCATTTGCACGCTGCAGAGGGGTGAGGTGTTGCATGCTGGGCATGTTTGTCATCTTAGAGAGCAGTAACAGTTATTCTGAATGTCTAGTATGAAGAAGATGATGAAGCAAGAGAGCTGAAGTCCCTTCTGGTACAAGCTGCACCACTCAGTGTCCTTCCAGGTCTTCCAGACAATAAGTAAGACATTGCTGCTCTTCATTTCCATGTAGCAGATACAAAAAACATGCTGAGTAACTGGAAAAGTTATGTTTGATTTGATTTTTTCCCTTGATAATCTTTGGGGACTGCATCTGGAAGAGATGTGTTGTTTGATTCTGAACTTTTTAATTCTCCTCATGCCTTTTTTGTCGATCGTTGTCCCTTCCAGACAAGCCCTCAATTTTTTAGTCATTCCTTGTATGTAATCAATTTTGAGCCCCTGGTCATTCTTTTTGCCTTTCTGTGTACCTTTTTTGAGTTGTACTTTAGAACCATATGTGGAATTCAGGATGTCTTTTATATTCTTACAAAGCATTGCAATGCACTGTTGTTATAATGCAATATGATTATCTTAAATTCACAACTCAAATGGTAGCATGTGTTAGAATTGCTTGTTTGACAGCTGATCATAGTGAAACCATGCTGCAGTTTCTAGGGATTTTATGTTCCCCTGAGTAGAGTTGAATGGGCCTCTCTGTCTGCATCTGAGAGATCTTCTGTGTCCAGACCATTCATCAGTAAGAAAAATAAGGGATATCTGTCAGTTGACCATTCCTGGTTCTGTGGTGCTCTTTGCTTTCATGGCATCTGCTGTAGCTCTTGAAGCACTTATTCTTAACAGCAGATAAATCAGTCACTTGATGTTATTAGCAAATGAAGCTGTCCAGCACTCCAGTGAATTACAGAAGATGTAAAGCTCCTGTTTTAGTGGTGTAGTCAGCACTGACAGCTGCTTAGGCAGCATTTGAGAAGTAGAGAGATTAAAGGACATACCAAAGTCCAAAGAAATACTTTACTGCACTTGTCTCCTTAGGAGAGGTTTAAGATCCTAGCTCTCCACTTGGTCAGTGTCACTGATGGTCTCCAGACCAGTGAGATCCACCTACCTACAGACGAGTCTTTCCTTAGCAATCCTAGGTACAACTTAGCAGAGGGAGAATGCAGCAAATGAGCTAACTCAAGTTCTGTTTTCTATTACTTTTCAGCTGTGAGATTCTGCTTCTCCCCTCACCGCGTTCTCTGTCTCAGGACTTTGTTCCTTGTGTGGGTGGGACAACACAGAAACAAGAATTTGCCATACTATTGAGGCAGTGGGGCTGTGATGGAGCTGGGAGCTTTTTGCTTGTGAATACAGACTGTTACCTTATTGGTTTTATTGTTTCTCATTGCTTTCAGCAGGAATGAGAATGCAGATGCTGCACTGCCACCAGTATTGGAAAGTAATGGGAAATCACCTACAGCAACGACTCATGTGATGCCAGATGAGGAGTCAGATGCTGAGCTTGACAGGTATGAGTCAAGAAACTGGTAGGAAATGGAAAAGAAATAGTAGGTTCTTAAAAGCAGCCTTGGAGAGGAGGGAGCAAATTTTGTTCTTTCTGACCAGAATGAGGGAGCAGACCTTGTTCAGCTGAATGGTGTTCTGCAGAATAAGACATCATGTAGAAAACTGTATGCAAGAACGTTTGTCATTAACTGGAGCAAAGCCACTGTCAGGCACAACCATTGTATTCATTGTTTGATTGACTTATGAGACATTTCTTGGATTTACTGATATATGTACTCATTAGTGGACCTGCTTATCCTGGCTTTTTACAAATAATATATAAAGAAATCTCAAGAATCAGCTTCATGCCTCTGGGTCTCCTGACCCCTGCCTACACTTGGCCAGGAGATCTGCTTACAGAGTCATTCTTACAACTTCCCAGGGAGCTCCTTTAGCCTGGGCTGCAGCCATGCTGCTCTGCATTGCAGTAGTAGTGGTGTAACAGTGGTGTTTGTGCTGCTTCTTTACTTCCTTGAGGTCAGCTGAGCAAAGAATAGCCTTCCCCTGTGGGCTAACTCCTGCCCTTGTTTTGTTTACAGTGATGATGACCTGACACCTTACGACATGTCAGAGGATAAAGAACTGAAGAAGACTAAGGCTCCAGTGTATATTCGAGACTGTATTGAAGGTGTGAGATGTTGGGATGAGTCTTCATCTTTTTCTGACTGTTTTGGGGAGAGCAGTCTCATTCGGTTGTTTTTATCGGAGCTAATGCAGAGAAGCTGTATTTTTTCAGTTATCTGGGCTCAAGTGCTGAACTGTCATTCATAAAGAGCTGCAGTCCAGCTCTTAATGCTGGTTGTGTGCTGGGTCAGCTGTGCCTTCTTATAAGAAGACAAACTGCTGGCAGAGGAAAATTAGGGCATGTACCTGAGCAGAACCGTTCTGTTAATATCTTGCCTGCCTTCTGTTTGCCTTCAGTCCTGACAGGTTCTGAAGATCTGGACAAGTGGGAAGAAGCTGTCAAGGCTCTTGAGAGCTTGGTTCGGAAGAATCCAGCGGCAGCAAGAGAGGTGAAGCAGTGTGAGCTAACAGTGAGCAGTGGGCTCTGGTGCTGGGCGATCCCTTTGGCCTTGTGAGGAGATCAGTCTTCCAGCAGAGCAACCCACTGAGCTAATGTCTGAATTTTGAGCTTGGGAAGGGAAATAGAAGGAAATAGTTGCTTTTGAGCTGAGGCTACAGAGCACAAAGAAGTAGGCAGGAGTGAAGGCAGCAGAGTGGCACTGAGCAGCTCCTGCACTGAAAAAGAAATGTGTTTGCAAGTAGACCTTGCCAGTCACTTGGGCAGCAGGGCAAGTTCCATGCTTTGTGCTGGGCAGAAAAAGCTTTGGAAAGCTTTTGGAAAGGCAACACGTAGAGCTGCCATGAATCCTACAGATAAAATAATTTTAATTTTGGATGTAATTGACATTGAATTGAAATTGAATAATTGTTATTTCCCAACAAAAATGAAATAAAATCAAATGGACTTCCTGTCTTTGCTCGTACAAATGTAGCTCCTTAACAAGGGAGCAGGTGGGTTGTGTTATCAAGATTAAAAGCCTGAGTGAAAGGAACTTAGGTCAAAGATGCTGCTGTGATGACTGCTCACAGCGACGTGGCAGGGAACACCTAAAGGTGGGATTTGATTCAGGAACTGCAGGGTCAGGTCTTCCTGTCTCACGATGTTAGCATTTGTCTAAAAAGCCAAAGTGAAAAATGAACGTGGATGGAGAAATCAGCTGAGGGTTTTGTTCTGTGTTTTGAGAAATCCATCTTGATGATGTTTATCTTAATGTGTTGTTTCTCCCTCGTGAGTAAAGGGCATGTTGTTACCTGTATTTGTCCCTCTGCTACAGCATTAGAAGTGGAAGGTGGATGGGACTCTGTAAAACCTGTGAGAAGCATAACATGCAGTGGCATGATTCCTGTTGTCTTATTTTGAGCAGGTTAGTGTGGAGCTGGCAAAAATACTGTTGCATCTGGAGGAGAAGACCTGCCTGGAAGGCTTTGCAGAGCTCCGTCAGAAGGCACAAGTAGCTGTTTTAACCACTGATCCAATACCTGTTAGTTCCTCTTACTGCTTCCTTTTTTCCAGTTGAGGCACTGGCAAAAATTTAAGGAGTTGAAGTCTCTTGCTAGTTTGGTAATGGCAGCTTCAGAGCGTGAAGAGCTGGTTCAAATCTGGCAGTGCCTTAGAGATGGGCTGGGCACGGAAGGATCTGGAATGGATAACAAATAACAGGAAAGCAGAAGCTTGTTCAAGAGCTGTAACAGGCTGAAGGACATGATTTTGTGTGTCTGGGTGTACCTGATGAGACAAGTCAGATAAGGATTCTTGCACTAAAGGAAGATGGCTTTATGTAGGAGCAAGCTGAGGCACACTGGCAGCCTGCTGTTTATAATCAGCTGCCATGACAGCTGTTTGAAAACCTCTGCATAGGGAGAGAGAAGAATAGCAAAGTCCTGTTAGTTGTTCACTTCCTCTGGGAGAATCTAGAATTGGAAGTATTTGATTTCCCCTGTTCATAGAGTGCTCTTCCCCAAGCTCAGAGTCTTGTTAGCTAGCAGGAAACTGAACATTGCCTCGAATGGAGAGTTTAGAATGTTTGGAATGAGTAGAAAGGCTGTTTACAGACTGGGCTCACTGCTCCTTGATTTTTCTGCACAGGTAGCACAGTACTTGACCTCCCAGTTCTACTCTCTGAACTACAGCCTTCGTCAGCGCATGGATATTCTCGATGTAAGCGCTCTTCTCTTCGCTTCCCACTTCTCTTATGTCTTTGTTGCACCAGTGCAGTGTCCCTAAGATGCAATGGGGACCTTTTTTCCTTGTAGGAGAGGTGAGGAGGAAGCAGAGGCATGAGAATCTCTTAGTTATATTTGAGCCTGCCATTCTTCTCTTGCTCTTAATTCTGTTGCATTTGAATTAAGCAGCAATTGTTGCCCACACAATGAAAAATGTGTGATGATCTTTTGCCATAAAGCAGCCATTTTCTCCTGATGTGTCATCATTCTGGGATCTCTTTGCTTTTTGCAAGCCAGCAGTCTGCCTGTGCCTCTTTCTGTGTCAGGGTTACAGAGTCTGAACAGGGGGCTGCTGTTCTGTTTCAGGGCAGTGACTGCTTGCACCATTACCTCAGAGTCCATTCACTGGGTTTCAATTGCTTGCCTTGCAGTTCTTAATTCTAAACTTGTGTCTTTCTGCCTTGCTGTTCCCGTTGGTTTGGGTGCATTCAACTTGTTTCCTCAGTACAGATTATCCCTATTTTAACACCATCCCCCCTTCTTTTTCATCTAGGTGCTGGTTTTAGCAGCTCAGGAACTGTCCTGTGCCAAAGGCCATGGGAAGACCAAAAATTCTGGTGCCCAAAACCCTCGTATCCAGCTCCTTCCTGAGAGTGGCAGCTCCAAGGACTGGAGAAGAATTGTTGATGAGAGAATCAAAAGCAAGACGAGGAGGTTTGCTAAGGTGAGGCCACGGCAGCAACAAATGTCAAATCCAGCAGAAACAAGGACAGGAGGGGTTGCTGTAGTTTTATCTGGAGAGAGCAAAATAGACGTGAAATTGAGCCCAATCCAGAGGCAGGACTGGATTACTTAAAATGTCAGTTTCACTTCAGTATTTTGTTAAATTTTTTTCAGTACCAAATCCTGTAGTCCTCTCCCAGGAGGAGAATGAAAGTAAATCTTGGTCTCCTTGTCTCGCATTGAAGGATAGCTCTGGCCGTTCTTTGCATGTTCTGACCTTGTCTGGCCACTGCAGGGAGCTGTGGCTGCACCTCAGAGAGCATCCTTCAGTGCAGCTGCATCTGCAGTGGACGGTCTCAGACTTCCTCTCTTTTTCAGGGAGATAAATTATTGCCAGTTTCCTAGGTCCTGTGACTCCCCAGTGGTTCATCCCAGAGGATTGCTTTCCAAAACTCTCTTCTTGTTTTTTATATGTAACCCAGCAGTACTGAGATATATTTTAGTGAAACATTTGGACGTGTGAGAGGTTCTGAAGTGGAGAGTGAGTTGACTGGCCTGGAAGCTAGCAGCCATAGGTGTTCAAGTAAGCAATAGCTGGCAGTGGGATGGCTGCAGTAGATGAATGTAGAACTATGGGTGCTGCATCTTGTGTCTAAGTTTATTTTTCCTTTGGACAGGGGCAGTCTCAAGTGGAACAGCCTTCGCATCCAAATGAGTTCAATTCTCTTGCTGGACACTTCTTTTTTCCGTTGATCCAAAACTTTGACAGGTGAGTGAACACCTTGGGATGTGAACTTGACAGCTTGAGAGTGAATCTCTTGCTTGTTCTGCTTGTCTCAGAGCAGCAGAATAGAGCCCAGAGGTTATGTGGGAGTCCTGTGACACCACACTGATGCCTGGCTCGTGGATAAAGCACACTGAGGAAGATTTTCTGCTCTCCACTTATCCAATGAAGTTTTCTTGGATGGAAATATGTGAGACCCTGCAGTAAGCGAATGCATTACTAAGCACAGCCTGTCAGCAGGTCCACAGGGTGATGATTTTCTCAGTATCCAACAGCACTTTGGCTGGTTCATACAAAGCCACAGAACTCAGGCTGCCCTCTTTAACAGAAATTAACTGCATCATGTTACAGGACATGGGTTATTGTCAATCACTCAAGTCTTTGTTTACCAAAGGAAGGGTCAGTAATTGATTCCACTGGAATCAAGATTCTTGTACTATCTGTCTTTATGGTTTGTTTCTAGGATGGCAGCGATGCTAGCTTTGGCATGCAGTTCTTTCTAACAAAGCTAGGCTGCTGGTCAAGCAAGTGATCCTCGCTGGAGAGGATGTTTCTGGTCTGAGAGCAAGCAGCTGTGGTCTGTATTGGAGTCTGTGAAGTGACTGCTGTTGTAGGAATTCAGATTTGTGCGTGTCCGTTTGCTCTTCACAACCACCCCAACCATTCCAGAGATCATCCCTGTCACTGGTTCAGAACTGTGTCTTGCACTTGCAGACCTTTGTCAACGTTTGATCTCCTGGGGGAAGATCACTTTGTCCTTGGAAGACTGGTCCACACTTTAGCAGTCCTGATGTACCTGGCTGTCAACACCATGGTAAGGAAGGCTGTGTGGAGTGAGTTCCAGCCTGGGAGCTCAGAGGTGCTGTCGGACACAGCAGTGGGCTCTGAGGCCTGCAGTGAGTTTGGGTCACGTGCTGAGGAGTCCTCAAAGGGCTGAGAAAAGATGATCAGAAAGGAGGTGTGGGATTCAGGCAGCCCTGCGCTTCCTTCTGCTGCTTCTGGTAGTTTTTCTTTCAATTTCTATGGGAAGTTGGGTACATCAGTTCTTCTGACTGCCTCAGTTTTCTCTTCTGTAAAATAATTGTTAACCCTGACATTCACAGCAGTGCGTATCAAGATCCAGTCCTTTGAAGTGATGTGAGTGTGAAGGTATTCAGTGTTTGTCATAATCCTGTTTTACAGGCAGTTACTGCAATGGGAAAGGCACTGCTGGAGTTTGTTTGGGCTCTGCGTTTCCACACTGACTCGTGAGTTATAGCTGTGTGCATTTGTTTCTAAAGATCCCCTGTGCTGGCCAGCCACAGCCTGTCCTTGTCCTTGTCCAGCACCTGGCTGGGAATGCCAGTGACTTCCCCAGTTCTTCTCAACGCTGACTTCTGGCCTTGTGCTCCTTTGAGCATTGCTAGAGTGTGTAATGAAATCATGGCTTTGATGTCAAACAAACAGGTATTAGCTGGCGTCTTCTAGTGTGGAGGTACAATCATTACCTATAAAAAACAGGGCACGTTCCTCCAACTATCCTTGTAATGTTTTCAACTAAATAAGCTCAGAGAACTTTAGATACAGCTCCAGCATTCAACTTGAAAGGAAATTAACACGTAGCTAAAATGCTGGAAACACACAAGTTCTGTTTTCACCTCAGACTTTTCCAGGTCTCTGTGTTCTGCTATGCACACTGAGCCCATGTGTGGGAGAGGCTCTGTATGTGAGTGGCATGCCAGCTGATACATAATTACACTCCTAATTAGTAGGAAGGTGGCAATGGTTATCATAAGAGGTCTGGATGAGGAGCTATGAGATACGGTTTAGTGGCCTGTGGTAGCAGTGGTAGTGGGAGGATGGTTGGAATAGATGATCTTGTAGGTCCTTTCCAACCTTGTGATTCTATGATTCTATAATCACAAATAGTGGAAACTGGAGAAGCGTTAAGGTGAGCCATAAGAAGCAACTCAAGGTAGAGCAGGAAGCTGCAGGTTCTGACTGGTTTGCCTCTCTCCAACAGGTACGTGCGCCAGGGGCTGCTGTCCTGTGTCTCCTCCATACTCCTCAGTGTCCCTGCAGAGCATCTTCTGCAAGATGTGACAGAGGAACTTGTGGAGGCTCAGTCCTGGCTGGAAGGTGAGATGTGATGGGGAATGTCGGTGTTTTTCTGGTTTGCATCTCTTTAAGAGTGTGGCTGCAGCAGTAGTGTGCTTGTGTCGTGCACCACACTGGTGTGACAAACATCCCCACTGCTCGCCTTGAAGTCTGGGGCAGGTGGCAGAGCACACCGTGTGCTGTAGAGACATATTGTAGAGGTCTCTAAAGCACAAGCTGAGAGGTGTGTGAGGCATCTCAAAGTGCAGCTGTCCTCACGCTTTAGAACAGTTGCCAAACAAATATCCTAGAATATGCTGTGCACCCCCTTCTCTGCCTAAGCCTCCAAGCACTCCTCTCATGAAGCTGCAGAACGCTGTTGCGTTGCACCTTGCATCCAGGCAGTGACGTACAAGGCTTATGTGGCTATGTTATGCTGTGTGCACGTTCTATAGGAGGAGGAAGAGCCCCATCTCCTGACATCCTATTGCTGAAGGAAATAACAGCCTGTGAAAGAGAGCAGCTTGTGCTGAACAATGTGTGCAAACTCCAATTTTTATGAGTAGTGCACAGCTAGAACTGCACAAGGGCATGGTTGCGTACTGCAGCATGCTGCAAGCACAAGAGGAAATGATGCTGTGTGGTCTGTGCTCCTGGAGCCTGCACTGTTCTGTGTGGCCCTTGTGTGACTCCCTGGGTTGGTTTCCTTCACCATTGCCCCTCTTGGTGAGCTGGCTTCCCCCAGGGAGCAGGCAGGAAGCAGCACTGACACAGGCGGCCTCTGATCCTCACAGGTTGCAGAGCTCTGTGGCCTTTAACAGAAAGAGAGCTGCCTTGTGGGGCCAAAAGCTTTACTTTCCCCATGACATGGTGTGCTCTGAAGAATCTGCTCGTCTCAGCTGTTAACCACTGCTATCACCAAGTAAAGCCTTTCCAGGGATGCTGTGGCCCTCTTTTCAGAATGAGGGGTGTGCGTAGTCTGGTTTTAATGAGTTGGAAGGAGGAGAACAGGGTTAGCAGCATTTTTCTGTGCCTGTAGGAAGTGTAACAGGCTTTTCTTGTGGTGCTGTTGCCTGGAAATTGTGCGATAGCTCCTGGTGGGAACATGTAAGCTCCCATGATGTATTTAGAAACCTTTAAGAACACAACTCTGCTCCACGTGTAGCCAGGTGTCGTTTAAGTGCCACTTAAAACTTGTGTCCTTATGGAGCTTCTTCCTGAAACACAAGTTCTTGGGCTGTGGCTTTGCTCTGGAGGTCCCTTCCAACCCCTACAATTCTGTGATTCTGCGATTCTGTGATTGTTGGTAAAAGGTCTCTCCCTGGGAGGTTCTGGGCTCCTCCTTGCTGCTCCTGCAGATGAGGTCAGGCATTAGAGACCTGCCTTTGTGACAGTCAGGTCTGAGGGGAATACCTGAGCGTTTCTAGGAAACTACTCCTTCAAAGGCAGCTGCTGAGGAATTGAGGGAATTCCCCCCCCCCTCCCAGCCTTGCGAGTGCTGTGGAGCTGTCATGGGTAAATTTATTCGATGAAATGAGCTGGGTGTATCTTAGTACCCCCTAAGTGGCAGCAATTCAAGGTCTGTGCTCATGCAATTAGAAGCAGTGCCAGTGTCAGTCTCTTAGCTTGTGAGCTTGCAGTAAGCTGTCTTGTAGCCTTCCCGTTTTCTCCTTCTGTAGAGGGAGGGTGGAAACACTGCAGTGAAGCTCTCCGTGAGGTTATAAATAGTTCTGCTCAATCTGAATGAGTCATGTGTTTGGGCTGACAGTGCTGGGCTCTGAGCACTCTGCTTGTGCGTACAGGATATCCTTGCACAGGCTCTCTGCTCTTCCAGGCTCCCCCTGCTCAGACATCCTGCGTGCATCCTGGTTTGTGCTTTGCAGGCTCGGTAAGGGCCCCTGAAATAACAGCTGCTTGAAGCAGCTTCGTCCCCTCCCTTTCATTCTCCATAAAACATAAAAAATGTACTAGTTTAGCAGAAGACCAGCAGAAGGAAAATTGTGTTAAAGAAGCAGGCATGGAAGTTCCTTTCCCCTAGTTCAAGAGTGCTGTGACTACATTTCAGGAGGAAGCACTGAGCAGTGGTGTAGAATTGCAGAATGGAGACTTTAGGCTTCTGAATCAGTGTATTTTTAACTGCAGACTGTATTCATGCTAGTGGATGGGCTACAGAATGGTTCCGGATAGCTCAAGGGGAGAAGTGTGAATTCTGGCATGGCAGATGTTTTGCTGTTGCCTTTAGGGCCGTGATGGTCAGTGTAACATTACAGACAGGCTGGGTGAAGAGCAGTGTGTTTTACTCCATTTTCCAACTTAGCCTCGGCATGTTCTTTTACAGATGTGGTAGAGAAAGATCCGGATGGGGACTGCAGGAGGTTGGCCTTGCAGAACTTGCTACTAATGGAGAACCTGAAGAAGAAACTGGAAACTGCCCCGTCCTAGCTGAAGGGTAAAAGAAATGACCTTAACCTCATCCTCTTGCCAGCTGGACTTGTGTAGGCACTGCTGGGGCCTCTTCAGCAGTCACCTGGCTGGAGAAGAGGAAGAAGGGGGAAGGGCGCAGTGCTGTAAGCCAGCAAACCTGACTTGACATCTGGACTTTGTAGTGGAGGCCAACTTAGTGAGCTATTGCTATCCGGTACGGGGTGTACAGATGCAGGAAGGCAGGCGAGCGCTGCCATCCTCCCCTCGCCCCCAGCCCCCACCCCAGCTATTTATAACCTTGGCAGGTTTGAATGCTCTGCTAAAAATACAGGGAAGATCTCATAGCAGACTTCTTGTCAGAAAAACAGGAGGGCTGGAAGCAGCCACTTACCTCGCAGGGCTGTCTGTGACATCCCCTGACAAAGGCTCCCATCCTCTGGCAGCATTGGAGGGCTGCTGCTTCAAGGGGGAGGTGGTGTAGGGGATGACCCTGAGAGATGGAAGCACTGAATAGCTGCAGCAAAGTTCTGAAATGAATTGCCAGGGCTTAAAGGTTTGAGTTAGAGCTGCACTGGGGTGAGTAAGGAACAAAGTAATTATTTCTGTATAATACGCAGACAGACAGGAGATTCTTCTGAAGTAACTGAGGACCAGATTCTGATCTTAAAATGTTCCTTCACCTTTCTTCCCTGAGCGCATACAATTCAAGGCTTTCCTGGTCACACCAAAATTTGGCACAAAGTCATCAAAAAAAAATCACTGCAAGCAGAAGGGCTCATTAATCTGACAGTTCTGTGCGTGACGCTTTCATGGGGCACCGTAAGACACTGAAAGCTCAGTGAGCCCTTGGTTATTGATGTTGGCTTTATGTTCCATGCATGGCTGTGGTCCCGTTTGTGCCAGAAAGAAACTTCCATTCTAAAATCTGACATGCACAGAGCAGTGAGAGGCTTTGCTGGCTGCAGGTGACCCTGCTTGGAGACAGTGGGGTGTGGGACCAGATGACGTCTAAGGCTCCCTTACAAACTCAACCACTCTACAATTCAGAGGCTTCAAGTCCAGCTTTCTTGTAAACCACAGCTCCAGCCTGGATGAGCCTATAATATTGAAATAAAGCTTTGAGGTGAGGAGAGCATGCAGTAGAAGGGCAGTGGTTTGACTTCTGCCCAAGCTCCTGGCCACGTGGAACTGAGATTGTTTTCTGAAGTTTGCTAAGGAAAGAGAAGTATGTTGGCACCTGTACCTGAGAATTTGGCCAGCTCACAATTTTTCACCTTACTTCCTCCTCAAACAAGGCCTGAGCTTGCAATGTGCAGCTCTCTTTTTAAACTTTTCTTTATTAAAATACAAAAACTAGATTCATACCAGGCTAGGTACAGTCTGCTTTTTGTATGTAGTGTTTAAAATAATCCATCACTGTTGATTATAGAGTCAAGCAGAAAAAAAATAAATTTCTTGGTAATAATCAAAAGAGTCTGCTGCAGCAGTTTGCTGACTGATCTGTGACCCCTAAAGACTACAGAATAAACGATGTAGTGCTCAGCCTTGGTGCTGCTAACTGTGAGGTGTCAGGGCCCTTCCACTTCATCAGCCACTTCTTCTTCCACGTCCTTGTTCTCCGTGCTGCTGTGCTGACTCTGCTCTGGAAGCAAGGCTTGGCTGATGGGAATTCCTGCTCCTTGGTGAACCGCCTCAATCGTCTGCTGCTTGACATAGTAAGCCAGGTTTGTGCATGGAATTCTTTTCCGCATCTGTTCCAGGTACTGGTAAGCCTAGAGGAAAGCACAGAAATCACTGTTAGAGGGAGGAGGGTGTGCTGCTTCTACAGCTCCCAGCAAAAAGGTGAAAAGCATCCATCCTCAGAGCCTGGCTGAGGAGCTCTTCAGTTGACAAAGTGTGCTGGTGTACATAAAGTTTGGGCTCTTCAGCGTGTGAGAGCTGAAAATTAACTTACCACATGGAATTCCTCCACTTGTAAATAATGTTCAACCAGAAATCCCAGGACATCGCCCTGCCGGATGGTGTCGTCAAGATCTTGTTCAGCCAGGAGAAGTTCGCACTGTCTGACGGCTTCTCTGGGATCCTCGGAGTAAACCCTAGCAAAAGAGCAAACAGAAAAATCGTGTGGGGGAGGACTTTCAGCTTGCCACGTGAAGCACGGGAAAGATTTTTGTACTGTGCATTTGATAATCATCCAACCAAAGATGGCTGTGGTTCTCCAGGTCAACAGTTACTCATATTTCTGGTTATACTTTGGTCTCGAATGCCAACATAGCTTTTAAAATCACCTCTGGTTCCCTGCTACAACTACTTATAGAAGTGTGTCTTCTGCAAATGATTTATTGAATTGTGAGTGTTTTCCTCTTGCATGATACTTTTGTCATTAGTCTGTATGCTCCAAACACAGCAACTCACCTCCGAGCGTGGATGAATCGCTTTATGAGAGCCATCTTGCTTTGCAAATGTGCTAGCTTGCTTTCCTGTTCCAGAGGGCTTTTGGTCTTTGCTTTTGAAAGACATTTATATGCTTCTGTCAGTGCTCCCTGTGCTTTCTCATAGTTCTGATACTCATCAATTTCCACCTGCAGGAAGGGAGATTCAGATGAGGCTCTTACTGCACAGCTAACAACCTAAACACCTTGAAGAATGACAGAAGCTGGGTGTACCTGAGCACACACATCGTAAAATCCTGCCAACAGATCCAGGGCCCTCCCTTTGGTGTAGAAGCTGATGATGTTCTTCATAATCTCTGGGTCCTTACGCCAATCCAGTGACTGCAAATAGTTGGCTGCCATGATGTAAATCTCTCTCTGTCTAGAGACTCCCGCAAAGAAGACAATTTTCTCTGTGTCTCCAGATCTCAGCAGTGCCTTCATAGCCTAACAATGGATGGGGGTGGGAGGGCAGAGAGAGCAAATAGAATACAAAAATCAAATACAAAAATCAAACAATGCTAAAATGATTGGGAAGCCTCCTCTGGACAGCCTACTGACTGTTCCAAGACCTACCTCTCAAATCACTCTTGTAAAACTGTATAAAGGTGAGAGGCTCAGCCTCCTCAGCTGTTTTTTCTACCTGTCTCAACTGACCTTTAACTTATTTCCAGCTTGCGTGTACTTCTTGGTTGCCATGTGGTAATTGCCTTGTCTCATGCAGCAGTCTGCAATTTGCTCCAAGAGTTCTCTGCGGGACTCCTCAGAGAGGTCCTTGGAGTCCTTAGAGACCGTCATCCGCTCAGCCATCTCCTCTGTGATGGTCAGGTTCTGCTTCAGACACAGCTGCAGAGCTTCGTGGTACTAATGGAAATGAGAAAGCAGTGAGCTGCTGCAAGCACTGCAGTGTGATTTCACACTGTCTGTGGTGTCACTTTTAGAAATCAGCTGTATGAAGGCACAAATGCAAGCAGATGATTCTCTAATTAGAACACTTGTGCAAAGTGTCCTAACAGCAACTCAGATTCAAGCATACACTCTCATTTTTTCTGTAAGAACATGATTTCTCATCTCTTTTCTCAGAGGACATCATTAAGTGGCAGAAAGATTTATCTATTTTTTCTTTGAGTGTGATGCTACCAGAGACATCTGAGTCAGATTTGTTTGGTGTGGTTGATTACGTGGAGGTTTTTCAGCAAATACAAATAAAAGGATACAGGTACTTTGAAGTATTTCATCAAATGTTTTCTTACTTCAAATACAGAAACAAAGGAATAGGATACACCACAGCTATTTCCTTTTAAGCCAGAAAAGAGCTACTATGCCCTTGCTAACTATGGGAGAAAGTGAGTCACAGCAAATTGATAATTGGGACTCAGAATTTTGGTAAGGCTGAGCTGCCAGCACAAGAAGGAGGGCGATGACTTCAGGTGAGAAATGAAGCACTGTAACTACATTTGGTGGGACAGAAACCACTGCTTTTTATTTATTTGTTTATTTTTGACTGGTAATAATATAATTCCTCCATCTCCAAATATATTTAGACAGTAGGATTTCTTTTTTCTCCAAGAATGCAAAGTCTGTGCAGGTGCCAGAAATAAGACAGAGCCAGGGATCCATTTCTGGACCTGAGGCAGTGGGCTGCCACCCTGTGAGTCAGCAGTCTGAAAAGAAACCTTAAAGCTTACAAATGTTTTTGTGTAGGAGCTTATGAACAAAGAGAGATGTGAGTGTATGCATGTGCACACCTCTTGTGCTCCTCTCCATCAGTGCACAGAGGGAGCAGGAAGGCAGAGCTTACCTTTTTGGCTGTGAGCAGCAATTCCACTGCCTTCTCATACTGAGCATGTTCAATAAAAAAATCAGAACAGCGAGCCAGCAGAGCTGGGTCTGACTTCTCATCGAGGTCTTCAGCAATTAGCTGTAAGGCTCCAAACTGCTGCGTGGCAAAGGCTAGCTCCAGTGCTTTGGAGAAATGTCCTGCCTGTAAAATTAAGGACGAGACTTTAGGGACTAGAATAAGCATTGCAGAATTAATTTACCAGATACCCTAGTGTGGATTAACAGAATATTAGTGTGAAGAAATGGCTGATAATTGTACATAATCAAATCACGCAGCGTCAGTTTAATGTCTGGTATTCTTACTAAGGAGTCATTTACCTTGTGGTACAACATCACAGCTCTGTCCATTTGCTCCCCCTTCTCCTCATAATAGCAGGCTGCCTCTATCATGTCTTCTGGAGAGCTCAGGAGAGCCAGGTTCATCAGCTGATCATCTAAATTGTTCTCCTGGTCAAAAACAAAGATTTGAGTCTCAGTAAGCAGCAAACTGACTTCACGAGCCTGCCTCCTTTCAAGCTTCCAGCTTTGTGCTGTCACATAGCAGCCCATCAACCACCTTCTATGGAAAACCCATACCAACTCCAATGGTTTTGAGCTGCAACAATCATAGCTTGTTTTAGACAGTTTTCTGTTGACATGTAGAACAAGAAAACACTCAGTCCCACACAACCCTTGTAATGATGTCCCTGTAGAAGATGCAGGCAGAAATGGGGACCGTCTTCATGAACAAGCAATATCTCACAAGAGAGAATGAGAACAGATCTGTACCACTTTCACTCTGTACACTACCTAAGGGCAGAATCCTACTTCAGATTTGGACATAACAGTGTGTGTCTTTCCATACCTTACACAGGCGAATGGCATTGTTAAATGCCTGGGCCCTGGTGTAGAAGTGCACAGCCTGCTTGATTTCATCCTGGCTCTCATACTGGCGGGCCAAGTGGTATGAAGCCGCCCAATTTCCTGTTTCATTTGCTATTTCAGCAGCCTGGAAAGGAAATCACATATCTTTATGCTGTGACCATACTCATCCTAGGAATGAGAATTCTCCGGGAACAAATTGCAGCAGGCTGCTTTACCTTCTGAATGTTGCCCTGAAAGCAGTGGACACGGACTAGGGAAAAATAATCCTGAGCCAGTGCGTAGTATTTTAATGCAGATTCCAAATCTGATTGGCTCTCCAGGTACTGTGCCCACCATTTCCACAGGCTCCTAGAAAAGCAACATTGATAAGTATTAACTGCAGTGACCAGAATTGCCAGAGAATGCATTTCTCAGCCCTGGAGATCTTGAACTCAAGACCAGATTTATTTTCTTGGAATGCAGATAGGTTTTACCTAAACACAAGGGTGATAATCAAAGATCTGCACTATGAGGGAGCTCAACCTAAACATCCAGTGTGGCAGTTTTGAGTGAAATGTGCCATGATCCTGAAAAGCCAAGGGAGGATCAAAACGCATTAAGCAGATGTTGAACTCACAGAGGAGAGGATCCCTACTTCTTCCCTGCTCTCCTTACAGACTGCATTTCAGACCCAAAAGTCCTACTCAGGAGAAGGAATGAGCACAGCACTGACTTGTCTTTCATCTTGTTGACGTAGTTCTCCAGTGCCTGCAGGTCTTCAGAGAGCATTCGGGGCACCTCGAACCTGTGTGTGTCTGACTTCTCGTAGCTGTGGGCAAAAAGAACATATCAGATGTGAAATGACTGACTGAAATCTCACTTCCTTGTCTAAAAAATCCACTTCATGGTTTGTGTTTTTTGAGAGCTACCAAGTGGCAACCTCGATAACAGTGCTCCATGTGTTTCCTCTAAGATTATTAGCAATCAGCCAGAACTACCAAAAACTCTTAAGACCACAGAGGCAATGAGATCATAGAGTTGTAAACACTTCAAAAGTACCAGTGATACTCCGAGGAATGATCCAGGAAAGCTCTCAAAACATTAACTATACCCCTGTGCAACTGGCTGAAAAGGCAGAAAATGCCCTGGGCTCCTCTTGCTTAGTACTTCTGCCACCAAACTGCAATTTCTGCCTCTTTCGCACTGCTGGGAGATGACTGCATTAATGCCACCCATCTACTGCTGCAGTCTGTCCCTGTCTTCCTGCCCACCTGGACCACCTTATGGGTCTGTCCGATCACACTGCAGCTCTACTTTGCTGCTGAATGGGCAGAACTTTCCAATATTGTCATTCCAGTGAGATTTCCCACGGTGAAAGTCATATAAAAACAGGACTTCAAACAAATACAACACATGAAAATCTCCACAGAGATTTTCCTCCACAAACTTCTCCAGGGACTCACCAGCCACAGCAGAGGACTGGGCACCAGAAACACCCAAATCAATCCAAATTGTGCCATACAATTTGTGACTGAGACTCTCAAAAGCAAACGGTTGGAAAAGGTAGGAGAGTAGCTGTGACCTTCCAGAGACAAGCACAGGACTGGGTTATTACTGGCATTCAGCTATCAGCCCCTGACAAGACAAGGCTTCCTGACAATAAGCTTTATTTCCCCAGGACAGTGCAGGCAGGTTGACTGCAACACTGCTGAGATAAAAAGAGACCAAAAATAAGAATTAATTGCTAGCCCTCATCGCCAGGCATCCTCTCTATCCCACTTCTAGTCTTCACAGAAGAAAAAGGCTCCACATCCCCCAAACACAATTCGGCCATAGGCTGATGCTTACTGGCTGAGTGCAAGAGCGTGCTCTCCGACTGCCTCCAGGTGCTTAGCATAGCTGTAGTAAGTGGTGCGGAGGTGAACCCGGTCGTGAGCTTCAGCTGTTTCAATGGCTTTCTGCCACTGGTTTGTGGCCTGATAGAACTTGTTCAGAAGGTCGTAGCGTTTGCAAGCCTTGTACAGCTGCTCTGCGTCCTCCTGAAGGGAGAGGATACAAGCAGCTCGTTAGCTCCACGTGTCTTATGGGCGTCCATCGAAGCAGAAGGTCACAGCAGGCACTGCACTTATGAGTATTTTAGTTATGCAAGCGATGCAATTAATGCAACAATAATTCAGTCAGGAGGGCTAACCAATTAATATACTTAGCCTGGAATAGCACATTACTGGGAAACAGGATGTTTATGTGAAAATAAGGAAAGCATTCAGATCCTGGCACTTACTGTACAGTATCAACTGGGGGCTGACACGAGCAAGCCATCAACAATGAAACGCTGTCACCAGGAGCGTGAATCACTTCAGAAAGGGGAGATAAGCTGCAGTGAATGGCCACACTGCCTAGGAGTGACGTGCAGAAGGTCAGAGGGACCTCGGAGCAGGTCTCAGAGGTAGGAACTCTTACTTGGATGACTGAGAGCCAGTCCTGGCCATGAGCACTATTCATGTCAGACAGAAGCAGATCAGGAGGATTTTGCCTGTACTGACGCAAGGGTAAGCAAATTTGGAACTATTATTTTTGAGAGGCTCTCCTGTGGAAGAAGCCCCTTCCTGCCCCACCCAACTGCTGTTCAGCTGAACACTATATTTAGTAAATTGAGATTATCTGTCCAGGATAGAAAAATAGTTTCTGTCTCTTATTGTTTCAAATTCTAAAAGCATAGAAAGTCAAGATGGAAGTTGTTGGCACTGTGATGCTACTCTATGAGCGAATAAACCAGCAGAGCAGCATTTGCCTTGCTCCAGCTTCCCTCCACCTCTCCAGATGCCAATATCCTGGAGTATGAACACTTTTCAGCCTCACAGCTTTCTCTGCCAGGAAGCTTTTCCAAACATCTAGTTCAAAAGGTCCTTTTTTCCTCTATTTAATTAAGGATAGTTCAACTACCTCTCTAGCATTTAGACTCTTAAAATGGCTGCAGATTGCTGAATTCTAGCCCTTCCAGTCTTGAAAATCTTTCCAAGAGCTGAACGGTTTGCCCTGATTTTCTCTGAACTTCCAGTTCATCAACATTTTTTTTCTGGTAATGAGAAGAGGTGGAAGGCAACGTTCCAGCTGCAGCTGCAACAACCACACAGATGAAAGCCACCGCAGCCCCGGGATGCAGTGTCTCCACAGAGGCCCCTGCAGATTTTCTGCTGTCACAGCATTTCGTGTCTAATTGGTGATGTCCTGTGAACTGTGGGGTGTGTCACTATTTCTGTCCCTCTTACTGATTTGCCTGGGACTAAGAACTAAAGACCTCGCTTGTGTTTTTCTAACAGATCACTGATGAAGACATGAGGTGGAGGCTGAGAAGGACACACGCTCTCCTCATCCACGGACCTTGGCGGTGCTCCAGTCAGTTTTCAATCCGTGTGATAATCAGCCTAGGCTCCATTTCAGATCTCAGCTGTATTGGTAAAGCACAATGATCAAGGGCAGAAAATTCAGACTATAAGGAAGCTGAGTAGCAGAGACACTTTGGTGTGCGCTGGCTGCCAGCTCAGGCTCCAGACACGAAGGACACTCTTCCACTGCATCGAGCTGTAGGGAGACAGCAGAACAGCCCAACTGCTCAGTGCTGGAACTTGGCACATCACTGCCAGCACAGCAGGAGCAGGCATGGAGACCTGGGCAACTGGACAGCAGATGACCCTGGGACAAGACAAGCAGCCAGTCTGACTGGCCAGAGCTTTCCAACTCTGCAGCCAGACCCCAGCACTGGGGCAGCAACTTGAAACACAGCTCCAGACTGGAATTCTACAAACAAACACTTCAAAACGAAACTTGCATTTATCATGCTGGACCTTAAAATACATTGGCTGAAATATTTTAGCTAGAATATTTTAAAGTACATCTTTTTTTTTTTTTTTAATCCAGTCAAACCTAGAATTATTAAGTCTGGAAGAATTATGGCCCAAGAAAAATGCAAGACAGAGCTTACAACGTTTCATCCTTAAAAGATGCTTCCTCCACTCGGCAGTTCTACTGCCATGATATATCCTGAAAACAGACAAATTGATTTGCCATAAACTTATACTGCTATGGCTCTTGGCACTCTTATTTTCTGACACTGGATTCTGCTGTACTCATTCTCATCTAACTTTCAAGAACCACGAAAACAGCTCATGGGACCGATGAGCCTATAGAATTCCCACAGATAGCAGAGAAAGACTCCATGCAATGTGGCACAGTAGCTGTGCATCACTGGGTTGTGTAACACTGGAGGGGATGCCTACTTCTTTAGGATAAAAACACAGCTTCAAGGAAGTAATGGCAAGAACTATTGTTCCTTACTCCTTGTAATATGGTTAATGGAAATATGGTTATAGATATTACTCGCCTCCAAAGTTTTGGCATCTCTCTCAGATTTCTCAAATGGTCACGTTTTCACTCTGTTCCCTAGTAAACAGAGTGGACATTGCAGGATGCATATGATTGACAGGCTTACCAGCATGCCCAGCTGAACTGCCAGCACAGCAACTCTGGCTTCCTGCTCAGGTTCCCGCTCTGCTTCCCTTAATGCTTTGGCTCCTCTTGCATGACCCATGTTTCCAAGGCAAATTTTGGCAACATCAAGCCTCTGAGTCTTCACACACATGCGAGCCATGTTCTCCCAGACAGCCTCACTGCGATAAAACAGAAAGAAGGGGAGAGCTGTTATGGTATCACCATCATGGAGTGTGTATTGAGCAGGTAAGAGGCAAGGAGCAAGAAAGGCCAATGCATTAGCATGTTCCACACGTATTGGACATGAACAGACTCTGGTTGTTCCACGAAGATTTAAGAGGAATAGAAATAGTTCTCAGACGTAAAAGGTAGTAATGGAGCTGAAGGTGCACGGCTTTAAGGAAGTATTGTGGCATCGGATCTGTACCAATATCTAAGCAAAAGCAGTCATATTTGCACACATATAAACATTTATTGTGCACCCATCTCTTTTGCTTTTACTGTAGCAGCAACATATGTATCTTCTGACTCTATTCTCCTGGAGAAGCTGCAGCCCATGACTTGGATAGGTGCACTCTTTGCTGGGTAAAGAACTGGTTGGATGGGCAGGCCCAGAGAGTGGAGGTGAATGGAGTTACACCCAGCTGGCGACTGGTCATAAGTGCTGGTCCCCACGTGTTGGCACTGGGACCTGTCCTGTTTGATGCCTTTACTGATGATCTGATGAGGGCATTGGGTGCACCCTCAGTAAGTTTGCAAATGACACCAAGCTGGGGGAAGCATTGACCTGCCTGAGGGTAGGAAGGTCCCACATTCCAACCTGGACAGGCTACAGTTTGAGTATCAGGAAAAACTTCTCTGAAAGAAGAGAATGCTGAATTGCTCATTCTCAGCAATGCCTGAGAATGCTCAGGCATTGGAACAGGCTGCCCAGGGTGGTGGTGGAGTTACCATCCCTGGAGATGTTCAAGAACCACGGAGATGTGGCACTGAGGGCCGTGGTCAGCAGGCACAGTGGGATGGATTGATGGTTGGACTTGGTGATTTTAGAGGTCTTTTCCAATCTTAGTGTCTCCATATGCATAATGCTCCCATATCACTGTTCAGAAAGAAATTTATAAAGAAAAAAAAAAACGGGAACATTTTAACATACAGATACAAAAACTTACAGCAGAAACATGCTGCTTCTGTCCTGCGTAGTTCAAAGATGGATCAGCCATTGGCAGCCCACCAGCCATACTCACCAGCAAGGAATGTTGTCTGAGAAATAACTGACCAAACCATTGCATTCTGATCAAAGTGCACAAAAAGTGGCACAAAGAAAAGCCGTGCGATGCTCAGAATGGGAACACCTCAAGGTTGAGAGTTTACCCTTAACACTGCTAACACATCTGTCATTGCTGGCAGCATTACTACCATCCCAGCTCCAGGCTCCCGTGCAGTACGGTCAGGGCCATGCAGCTTCACAGGAGCAAGCAAAGATTTGCACAGAGCCTCTTTACATCTGAGGCTCTTCAGAGTAGAAGGCAGCATGTTTGATTAACAAAACATTTGCATTCAAAATAGGGCCCAGCAGAGATCCATGTGGCTCTCAGGCACCACCATGACACAAATTAAGTACAAGGATGATGAAAGCAGGAAAAAAAAGTTTTCTTCTTTTTTTTTTTTTTGGAAGAGTTGAATGACACTTCAGGTCCTGCACCTGCAAACAAATCCCCTTCCAGTTTGGGGGTGGGGGGGCTGACAATCATGTTTTCCTATGATTAAAATGTTTTTCTCTTCCTAGTGGCTGTGGGAAAGACCTGCACAAACAGGGGAAACTGACTAACCGGGAAGCAGCAAAGGAGATGAGACGCAACGTGCTGTCAAGCACATTCAGTCAGTGAAGGAGGAAAAAAATGTTTTTCCTGATTTACTTTAAAATCAGATTATATTTTTATTTGCAACTACAACCCGTGCAAAATTCTCAGGTGGTGATTAATAGAAATGTGAGACCTACACTTCATAAATGCCAAAGTGTACGGAGGGAATAAAGTAGGATCAGAAGTAATAAATGAGGGGTGAATTTCATGTGTTCAGAAGTTCTGCTTCTTAAAGCAAAAAGCTGTCTCTGAAAATATTACTGAATTCCTTGTATCTGCTTGTCCACGCTGACCGTGGTTCAAACACAGCCTCCTCAGCTCTGTGCCGACGTATCTGAGTCCCTTCCAGGAAGAAATGCCAAAAGGAACATGGAACATCAGAACTGGAAATTCCATGCTCCATCCTTCTGAGCGTAAGCCTACGATGCACTTCTGTCCAACACAGAAATGCTGATTTCTACCAGCAGAAGATGCAGCCATTCTCATTCTCGTAAAGTCTTAGTTGTTTTTTTCTTTTAAGCCAGCCACTGCTTATACCCAGAACGGGGGACAGCAGGAAAGACACCTTTAAAGGACATTGAGGTCATATTAGATATTGTCACCTGGCTTTGATCAATGAAGACAGACATTTCTATCACTAGCACAAGATGTCAAATGTAGCATGCATGTATGAATGGCTGCACTTCACGACACACAGGGAAAAGGCCTCTATTTCCCAAACACTGTAACACACCAGAAGAAGCTGCCAACAGCTGAAGGAACACAGGCTTGTGCACTGCTGTGCCAAACAAGCAGTGCATTTCTGAAAGGAGATCAAAATCTTTAAGAACCCTGAGAGCTTGCAGTTCCCTGGATGCAAGAAGATGAGAGTTCATGGACTTGAACAGAGACAAGGTACGAATTGCATTTAGCCTACAGTGAGTGGAAACTTCTGAAAGAAAATAAACTAAATTGTATATTTTGTACAAAGTTAAAAATACTGGTGTGCAGAGAAACACAACGAGACTTGAAAGAATCATCTAGGATGGAAAAGACCCAGGATGGACATGTGCAGAATCATCTAGGATGGAAAAGTCCTTCAAGATTACCAAGCCCAACCACCAACCTACCTTAGCAAATCCTGTCACCAAACCACATCCCTCAGTGCTACATCCATATTGCTCCAATACCTGCAGGGATGGTGACTCCACCTCCTCCCTGGGCTTCCAATGCTTGGCCACCCTCTCTGAGAAGAAATCCTTCTTGATATTCAATCTAAATCTCCCCTTATGTCACTTGAAGATGTTGACTTGCATCCTTGCCACCTAAGAAAAGAGACCAACACCTCCTCACTGCAGCCTCTCGTAGGTGTAGGGAGCAATGAGACCCCACTTCCCTCAGGCACACCTCATAGGCCTTCCTTTCCAGTCCCTTCACCAGCTTCATTGCTCCTTTCTGTACAAACCTGAGCAATTCAATACCTTTCTTGTACTGAGGGGACCAAAACTGAACCCAGTATTTGAGGCACGGTCTCACTGCATACAATGGGCAACCATTTCCTGCTGTTACCTGGCATCTATTGGCAGCATTACGCTTTTGTGAATGGCTGTGGCTCCTGACAACGTGAAAACTCAGTGGGGGCTGCTGTTGCCCACGGGATTCCTCTCTGAGAGCTCCTGTCCCACACACAAACTGTCAGCGTGTCACCCCTGGCACCTGTGCCATCCATACGCCATAGACCACAATGTATCTCCACTCTGAAAAGCTGGAGCTCAGCCATTCCATTTGCTCCTCCTCCACTGCAACCCATATACAGAACTAAGCTGACTGGCCCCAGCAGCCAGCTACCAACTGGGTGGAACAGAAACAGAGGAAGAAACATTTCCCGGTGATGTGCTCTGGGTTTGGTTTGATTTTGTTACCCTAGGGTGACAATCCCCTCCAGACAGTCAGAGGGGCCCAGGCACCTTCTGTACAGACCCAGCTGGGCAGGAGATGGTGAGCACGCGTTACAGACTGCACAGAGCACACTGAATTTATAAGTGTTCACAGCTGGGCAGTGCTTGCGTGCATTCATCCAAAGCAAGCAAGGCACTGAGAGCAGTTCACTTCACCAGCATGCTGAGTACCTGCAACAGGAAAACACCGCCTCTCCAACTGTTCCCTCCCACTGCCTTCTAGAAATGCTTGAAGGAATGTTTCACCCAAATCATTCAGAGGAGTTCCCATTCTCTCACTGGAGCTAAGGACAGCTCAGTTATCAGACGGGTGGAGAATCCACAGCTAAATCTTCTCCTTTGGTCCAAATGCAGAAGCTGGTTATTTCCTATGGATGTGTCCCTCACAAAGGACTCTGCTCTGATAAAGGTATATACATGTATTATCATAGAATCATCATAGAACCATACATGGCCTGGGTTGAAAGGGAGCACAATGCTCATCTATTTTCAGCCCCCTGCTATGATCAGGGTCGCCAACCACCAGACCAGGCTGCCCAGAGCCGCATCCAGCCTGGCCTTGAATGAATACATAAACATACATACATGCATTCCTGCAGTTCAGTTCCTGCTCCTGCTCTGAGTGACCAATCGTTGGCCTCTCACCAGCCTCCAGCACTGCAGCCTACTTCTGATATGGGATCAAGGGTTTCAAACTCAGTTACATGCTGTTCCTTTCCAAAGATCATTTTCATGAGCAGATAAAAGTTCAATATATATTCACATATTGATGCTTGCATTTATTATTTTAACTATTAATTTATCTATTGCATCTTATTTAAAAACCAGAAAGGTATCAGAGTGACATCACCAGAAATGTAAAAACAAACTCATGCAAAAGGCAGGTGGTCTGACTCCCCAACAGAGGCAAAACGCACACAGCTGCTGAGCACCACAGAGCACACAACCAAGTGGAGGCTGGGAAGCAGCACGGATCATGTCGTGCCAACACCACAGCAGGACGGTGCAGCAGACTGAGCTCACACTGATGGCAGCCAGGGCCAGTGTTCATCTTCCCATAACTCCTGCAGAAAACCCAGAGGACCTCCAGCAACCAAAATGCAGCCAGAACCTCTGTTCTGCTTTGCCCTAGAATCTATTCTATTCTATTCTATTCTATTCTATTCTATTCTATTCTATTC